CCAGGCAGGGGGTGAATTGGGCAATGCTGCCTCTCAGCTATTCCAGTCCTGGCTTGTTGCAGGGACACAAACACAAATATTGGATTCTGGAGCCAACTCTGCTGCCCCAGAGACTGGTTTCACCCACCCCTGGGTCTTACTCTCAGTCCCAAGACACTGTCTCAGCAGGACAGTGTTGTGTGAGGCACCTTGGACCCTCCCCAAACTGTTCCCAAAAGTGAATTAAAAAGGGGTCACAAGTTAACTTCAGGATGCAAACAGGAATCCTGGAATGCCAGTCTCCTGCTTGGACACATCACAGGGGAAGGGAAGAGGCAGGGAGGACACGTGTGCTTTGTTCTAGTGGACACCTGGCAAACCAGTGAGAAGAGACTGTCAGTACAGAAGTGTTTAATACATAAAAATGAGGTGGGTTTTTTTGGCCACAAAATAGTAGTTGTAATTTTAATTAAGTGGGCAGAATTCAATGGCTTTACTCAATTTGTTGATAGAAGGATTTTTATAAATTATTTAATTAAACATCTGGCTGAAAAAAAAATGTGAAAAGTAGAAAAGTGCAATAGTAGTAGAAAATTTTTATTGACTTGAACAGATTTTTCTGCTTTCAAAATTAATGTGTAATTAGCTTTAGCTGTGACTTTGCTTAATTCCCCCCCCCCCCATATTCATTCCAAATGGATTTAGAGATTAAAGTCTTGGGAAAGACAAAACATTCTTCTTATTGAATGAAACTTCAGGGCTAAAAATGTACTGTTGTTATTAGTAGGGCTTGGAATGAGTAGCGTCTGACATTCCCAAACCATCCCCACCCACCATGGATGTGGCAGCTACTGAGTTTGGAGTTGTGTTTGTGGCTCTTGCTGATGGACTGGACACATTTGGACTCTTGTACCTGCTCTGAGTGCCCACCCTTGTTATCAAACATGCTTTACATGGTGCCCATGCAGAAATGAGAGTTCACATGTTCACTAATACAAGATGCAGGACTCAGTACAGAAAACAAGGTACAATACAGAGGTGGCAACATCTGAGAGATCTGCTTATTTATTTTTTCCTCTTTAATTGACTTACCTCTTCTTCCTCTGCTTCCTTTGCCTCTGGACCCCCAGAAGAAACTTGGATAGTTGGATTATTAAACACAGGCTGTTTTTATCAGTCATATTTGTTGCTGTGAGAACCTAACTCAGGCTGTTTTCAACAGGGGGGGAAACAAGAACAAACCAAAACCTTTATTTTAAATAAGTCTCATTTCTGATTTTAACTATTTTCTCTGCTGTACTAAAAGTAGTGTTTAGGTCAGCTTTGAGCTTCCATTACAGTGCATTTCCTAGTACCACTTTTCTCTAGGAAGGGAGAAACCTCTGTTCCTGGAAGTGCTTCTATGCCATGAACATGATCTGGAGGTAGAGAGGCAGCAGCAGGTTATCAATTTGGGTGGTATAAGCTTCCAACAGAGAAACCAAACTCACAGATGCCAGAATCCAGGCGTAGCTGGAGTTCAGATTCACACTGCTGTCAAAGATCAGAATCAGGGCCACAGCAATGATCTGAGCAAAAATAGCTGTCATTGTCCCTTCAAAGGTCTTCTTTGTTCCTGGCCATTTAATCTCCCCCATTGTACTGCCAAAAACAGAGGCAATAGTGTCTCCTACCCCCACTGCCAACACTCCGGAGTAGGGCACCAGTGCTCCTGCCCCAGACAAGGTGCCTCTGGGGGCACAAGATCTGGGGAACAACCACACTGGGAGGGACATGCCAAGGAGGAGATAAATATGAGTCAAGATTAGAGGGCCACTGTCCCTTTCATCCACGAAGAGAGACAGCAAATGCCTGAGGGTTTGGCCGAAGGGTTTGATCCTGAAGTACCGGACGTATTCCAAGAAGATAAACACTGCCAGGCACAGCACTGCAGCAACATAGAGGAGCTGACGGTCATAAATGAGTCCAGGGACATAAGTGGCTACAACAATGAAGTGGAAATATTTCCTGGTGACAGTGGAGGCCTGGTGTTTTTTGGATTCAGACGATCTCTTTGCGTTCTGGTAGAAAACCACCCCACAGGCTGAGGCAGCCAAGAGGGTCCAGTACATGAGAAGGTAAAGTCTTGTCTCTGTCTGAAACAGAAACTGCAGCAGCCAAAGCAGAGGGTTCCTCTGGATGAGTCTGTACAGCCAAGGCATGATGACCCCTAAGCCCAACACTGCTGTCATCATGTGGAAGAACATGGAGGAGATCCACGTGCCTGAATCCATGAAAATGAAAAGCACAGTGAAAAAAAGACCAAGGAGAACAACTCCAACAACTGCCACCAGAAGGAAGAAGTCAATGGGATCCCCTTTGCCCTCGACCACATTCAGTGAGCGTTTAATGAGCTGATTGAGGACAAAACTCACACCTCCAAGAACCAGCAACGCTTCCCCAGGAGTGAAACACCGAGGCAGCAAGTACAGCAGGATCATACTGAGGTAGACAAAGATGAGCAGCACTTCCAGGACCTCTATGACTTCTGAGACAGCCAGGGAGTGTTTCATGGTGTAGACGATGACGCTGCCAGCCATGCCAGTCAGGATGCAGGTGTTGGTTGGCACGGGTTTGGTGATGCCAACCCCCAGCACCGACAGGAAGAGCGCGAGCAGCATCCCCGTGGAGGCCACGACGACCCCAAAGCGCTCGAAGTACACGATGCCGGCGGCCCGGCACCGCTCCTTCATGACGATTCCCAGCAGGGGGATGACCATGCTGGCGGGCAGGAGGCCGCTGTTGGCCGCCCCCCGGAACTGGAACACGGCTCCCCCGCCTTGGAGCAGCCGGTCCCACTTGAACTGGACGTAGAAGGCCTGGAGGGCCAAGGCCAGGGTGCACCAGGAGAACCGGTCCCACACCACCCCATGCACCGAGAGCACGATGGCAAACACCACCAGGGACTCCACCAGCACCGGCTTGTTCAGCATGATTCCAGCTTTCAGAATCTCTCTCAGGAGTCCTGATGTGCTCAGTTGTCCATTAGGAAGAATTCCCTTCCATGCTACTGCAATTCCTGTTAAAAAGAAAAGAAAGAGCAAACAGCTAGAGCAGCTTCACTTTTAGAGCAGCTTCACTTTTAGAGCAGCTTCA